AAAAAAAAAAACAAAAAAAACCCCCAAAAAACCAACAACAACAACAACAAAAAAAAAAACACCACAAAAAAACAAAGGAATGGATCTGAAGGCTTAGTATCCAGAAAATAAAACAATGAGAAGACTGATTAATATCTGATTCAGGTGACCTTGTTCTACCATGATAGCAGTTTTAGGAAGTTTTCTTTATAGAAATAGAACAAAGAAAGTCATAAACACGGCATTTTCCAAGTGTACTAATGAAAACATGAAGGAGGTGAATTACATCAAAACAGGAAATGTGTTAGAAGCCTCAGATGATATTCTGATGTCATTCCTAGCCTTGGCGTCTATAGAAGCTAGGAGTCTGTACATTCCAAAAGGATTTACCCAACAGTCACAAGGATGGCAAGTCACCAGCAAAATTAGAAAATAAATAGCTACTTGGCACATGGCAGGGGGTGGGGGGGAGTTATTTGTCTCTGAACTGTAACATTCCAACTCTCCACGATAACTGAGTTTATAACCAGTCAGTTAACCCTGTAGTGAGTTTAACACAGATGCTGCTTTTCAGTGGGAACTGCAGTTAATGCCTGGGCATCTTAGCAGCTTACTCCTTATAAAAAATATTGTTCAGTTTTCTGTATTTATGCTTTTGTCCATGTAGAGTGCATCTCTTGTGAACTCAAGACTAAGTTGAGTGTATGAGTGCATTAAAGACAAGATCTTGTTATGGGTCAAAGTTCATTCCCTATTTACTCCTGAGAAGGGAGTTGAACATAGGATAAGGAGAGGCCAATGCCCTCGGGATTTTGGGTTCATATCACAGATAGGTAGTTGGCATAGCAACGATTAATGTTGCAGTCAACACATAGATTTGGCTTGTTGTGACTTATGAGTGATCCTCCACTCTTTACTCTGGGAACATGAGAACTTAGTTTCAAGATAAACCTGAAAAATATTAGCAAACAAAATCATGTTGCTTTCCTTCTAGAAACATGAACAACTGACTGGTTCATTCCAGGTAGGGCACTGATAATAGAATAAAGAAACAACTCCATCAAAGTCCAACTTGGTGAACCAGTGAGTTTATGGATCTACTTACAGAACACAGTTGGGGTAACTGCAGCAGCATGGACAACTCATAGACAGCTGTATCATCAGAAGCCCACCCCAGCATGGAAGGTGACTCCCAAAAGCCACATCCTTGGGGCTCCCTAAGGGACTTTCAAACAGATGTATAGGACCTTCTGCCAGTTGGAAAGCCTCATTTCTCAGTAGTTGTTATTGCTTGTCTAACACTGGGCAGGGACTTTGTGAATCTTGTAACTTTCAGGAATCTCCTGAGACTTGTGAGTTGCTTACTCCTGAGCCTTGTAAGTTTTGTTTACTACCTAAGTCTTAAGGAGTCTCTTTCTAGAATGGAAGAAATTTATGCACAACAAAGATCCACCTAAAAAAGGGGAGAAGATGATGCAATGACTTGAAATGTCCCTGGGCACAGAAAATAAAACACAAGGAACAGCCTACTTGGCCAGGAGTTGAAACCTTGACATACTCCCCTATTGTCTTCCTAAGATGAGTGAGAAAAGGCAGGCTTGTAGTCTGCCTTCCAGCCCAGACTCCATGAACCTTATTGCACACTGTGCGGTTGAACCACCTTACTCACTGTATGGAACAGAGAAGTAGACTTTTCACTTAGAGAGAAACAGCTGAGTTCTGCCACTGCGGTGGCCACTGTACCAGCTGTGTTTAAAAAGTCATTATCATCAGAGATTACTTGCAAACCAGAGGAAAGGCCATAGAGAACTAAAGGAACCATAAATACAACGTTATAAGAGCAGCCATACAAGCACCAGATGGAAACTTTACCAAAGAAACATCTTAAAAAATCTTTGGAGAGTGCTAAGTTGTTATTATCATTAAAAGAAAAAGAAAGAAGAAAAGGGTGGATGAAGGAAGGAAGAAGGTGGGAGAGAAAGAGGAAGAGGAGGACACAGCTAGGAAGATGATTAATTAGAGAGCAGAGTAGTCCTAGAAGTTAAGAAAAATGAAAACCTGAAGTACATGTATTTTATATGTTCAGCACTCTGTAGTAGGAGTTGCCCCCAAATGGAATATGAACACAGGAAACAGAACAAATGAGAAGATAACAGAAAGTTCCCCTGGGCTAATGACTTTGTTTAGTCTTATTAAAAAAGGAGCTCTTATCTAGCCATATCCTATTTGAATTTCAGTCATGAAGGATTAAAAGGAAATTGTAAAAGATTCCAGAGGGGAAAAGCCGTTCAGTGAGCAAACTTAGAGGAGAGGAGAGAATAAGATCCAAATTGGACTTAGACTCATGGCTGACTACGTGGAATACAGGAGAAGCGTAAAGAAGCGCTTTCTACCCAGGAGGGGATGGGAGCCTCTCCACCTGGTTGTCATTCTACTCAGCACCCTAGCGTCATTCTCTAAGTCTCACAGGGTCTCGTCACTTCCTGGGGAGCTGCTGAAGAGTTCAGAGCCATGGGCTCTGTTCTGGGTGTCGCATGTGTTAGAAGCAGGCTGCGGCCCGCACTGAGTCCTGGGAAGCCCGTTCCACTTGGGAAACAAACCTTGGCTTGGTTTGTAGACAGTGATGACTCAGCTGTATTAGCTGTTGGTCCGTGTGGGGCCACACACACTTTTTGGAGCTGAGCTCCAGCCTCAGACTCATTGCTTCTCCTCACTGTAGACCACAAGGCTGACTCAGGGTGCTCTCTGAGGCCCCGTGAGCCTGGAGAGGTCAGAACTCTGGCCATAATTACCATATTCATGATTGTGCTTCATTTCAGACTAAACATGTCTTAGGTAACAGACTGTCCAGGGATGTGAAATATTTTTTGAAATAACTATAACTCTGTTAGTGCTGTAACCTTTCATTTACGGCCCCCTGGTCCTTGTTCAGGGGCGCACATTTTACAATAGGATGAAGAGCTTGGTTGGGTTGTGCAGTTTAACTATAGCTGTTCCCTTCCCCAGATCCGATTCAGGAGATTTATTTAATAACACTTTACAGAACTGTTTCATTTACAGAGATACCCCTATAGTTGCCTTTTAATCCTACTGATTCTGTCACTAGGAGAACGTCTTATGGTGCCTGCATCATTGGAAGTCAAATGTGATCAAGGAGCGGCCTCCAGGCTGCAGCAGTGAATAGAGGGTCAGTTACACACAGGAAGTCAGACATGCAGGTGCTCAGTGGATCCATAGTCTTAGCACATTCATGCTGTGGATGATGGATCCCCACTCAGCTTCCGTACTTAGGGAAGGTAGGCTCTACTCAGGAATCACCAAGAGAAGGTATGCCATCCCTGGAGCTGAAGGCTTCAGTAGGCCACACAGAACTGCTTGTAATTTTTTAGCTTCTTTGGTTTATTATAAAAGGAAATGTGTGGGGGTGAGTGTGGTATAAATCCCACACATTAATCAGATGATAAGTAATTAGACCAGCATTAGGTTCTGATTTTGAACCAGCATCAGGCTTGGAATGGCTTTCTCTTTTCTTTCCTGTTGAGTTTATTCTCTCTCTTGGCGTTTTCATATGAAGTAGATCTACACAAAGCTTTGTGTGTCTCTGCTACGACTCCCCCACACTCTCTGACTCTTCACACCAGTGTGCTCCTTTGTGCCCTTCCTGTGACCTCCTCTTGGAATTTCTCCAGAGTCTCTTGACTCTTAAAGGCAGAGGACTAAACAAAGAAATGCAAACATTTGAAGTATCTCATGAGCAGCCATCACCGGCCAGCTATTCCGAGCCCCTCGGCCCCCATCTATTAACCGTATCTTATACCATCCGGCAAAGCTTCCCTTTGATGATAGTCATTCGCGGTCTGTGATAAACCTAATGGTTAAATGTTCTTTGTGTTTTGTTTTCTAATCAGAAAGCAGGGGAAAACAAAGGTGGCTCTGGGTAAATCTCTGTGTGTGTGAGCAAGTACGGGTTGGAATTTCTGAAAAATTGCAATCTTTCCAGGTGCAGTAAGTCAGAAAGTAACTTTTATTACAGTGTCTGGTGCTGTGGACTAAATGCACTAAAATCTGATTAAATCGACTCAAATCTGATTAAAAGACTGTCAAAAGATGCATGTTAGATGCTGGCTACAATTTTAGTAGTCAGTAAGAATCATGACAGGTACGATTTTTATTTTCTTTCAGAACTAAGAATGTTTGCCTGGTTGGAGAAAATAAAACACATAAAAACATAACCATTACGAGAACTCTAAATAGCTGACCAGGTCCCAGGTATCAGCTCCCAATGACTGTGTGCCCCGGGGGAGAAGGGACCCCAGCAATTCTACTTTAAACTTTGTATGTTTGTGCTATTTACTTAAAACATGTTAGTTCAGAGTAATATATTCCCTTCCTTGAAAGCAGAGATGTATTGGTGCCATGGCATGCTGTAGGAAAGGAATGATGATTGGATAGAGAGAAAGGTGACATCTATTTGGTCTTGGTTAAGAGAATGAATTCCATAAATTGAAACATGACAAGGGAGGTCTAGTCTTTTCTGATAAATCTCAGTCCATTCATTGGCCCATCGTCAGGGAATAAGTTTTTCATTACATATTTGTCCTAAGATTTCTGACATATTTTACCAGGGTTAAATGAAAGCCAGTAGGAAAAGTTTGGCTGCATCTTAGAAGTAATAAACAGCAACTTTTAATAAACCTCACTCTGGGGAAGTACTGTCATGGCACCATGTTTAGAAAGTGTTGTGGAATATTTGTTTACACTGTGTGAAGATGTGTCACTGTGGTTGGTTTAATAAAGAGCTGAATGGCCAATAGCTGGGCAGGAGAGGATAGGTGGGACTTCCAGGGAGAGAGAGGAAGAGGAGAAAGAATCTAGGTGCATGGACTTCACCAGCAGACTCGGAGTAAGTCAGATGTGCCACACTAAGAAGAGGTAATCGAGCCACATGACAGAATGTAGATTTAAAAATTATGGGTTCATTAAGTTAAAAGAGTTAGTTGGGTAAAAGCCTAAGCTAAGGACAAGCTTTCATAATTAATAATGTCTCCATGTCATCATTTGCAGGCTGTCGGTCCAGATGAAAAAGTACAGCTACAGGAAAGTGTCTCAAATGGGCGACCTTTTTGAAGGGCAACTCTCTCTCAGCCGCTGCATAAATCTATGACAACCATATCTGATAGATCTAATACTAGGAGAGAAAATGCTATTTGGATGTTGTGCTTGCTAGTTTTATGTCAACTTGACAGAATCTAAAGTTATCTGAAAGGAGGGAACCTCAATTGAGAAAATGCCTCCATAAGTTTGGGCAATAGGCAAGCCTGAAGGGCATTTTCTCAATTAGTGATTGGTGAGGAGGGCCCAGCACATGGTTGGTGGTGCTGTTCCTGGTCTGGTGGTCCCGGGTTCTCTAAGAAAGTAGGCTGAGCAAGCCATGAAGAGCAAGCCAGTAAGCAGCACCCTTGACTTCTTCAGGACTGGGAACATTGATTCAGGTGGAGCAACCAGCGTGGGAAACAGGAGATTTTAGCTAAGAAGTTGGAAAAAACCATTAGCCATGTGGGGAATAGAAATCATCTAGTGAGGATCAGAAACATGGAGTTTATATTTCTACAGGGGAGGGGAAGGGTCATGGCTTTCTTGCATGCACCTGAGCTCAGACTTTCTTCCACAAAGAGAAGAAAGCCAGCGGAGATTTTGGAGGAGAGAAATAACACCAACCATAAGAGTTACAAAAGTAACCGGATTTATGAAAACGACTTAAGGTAGGTTTAGTGGGAGAAGATAAACTTCTGAAGCAGGAGGGTGTCTGTAAGAATGGAAAGAGAGGTATAGATATGAAGGAGAGCATGAAGGACAATCAGCAGCAGGTGGGAACCGATTGGGTACAGCTCTGTCATTGTCCTCAGCTGATCTGAGGGTTACCACTTACCCAGGAGGCACTTGGAAATCCCTGACGCATCTTCTCGTGCCCCTCACCTTTCCCACTCCTTCCGTACAAGCAGGGCACACCGGGCTGCACGTGCAGAGTCTTGTTCTCCATCCTCCCTACTTTTGCTTATCCCACCATATTTAGTCTTTTACTTACTGTGACATGCGTATTCTTCCATTGTCTATCATTTCTGAAGACCTGCTCAAACGTGACCTCTTGTATGGATGTTTCCCGAAGCCTGTTTCCCTTGCCCCAACATTTTCCTGCATTCATGTCTGGACTTGGGTTGTTCCCTTCTATCTCATAGAACAAAATATTTGTATTATTTTATAAAACTAGCTTCGTGACACTACACACCCATTGAAAAACCTCATTAAAAACTTGAGACGACTCCAAATGCTGGTGAATACTGAGAGCCCTGGTCACCCAAGTACTTTTGGTACTACTATAAAATGCACAGGCAATCTGGAAATGTTGGGTCATATATTTAGAAATGTCAGGACATTCAACTGCTCTGCAACTCAGCAGTTCTTTTTCCTAAGGTAAAAAAAAAAGTATATGCTCATAGGAAAATGTGTACATGCTGGCACAGTGGTGGTGCATGCAGAAATGCTGGCACAGTGGTGGTGCATGCAGAAATGCTGGCATAGTGGTGGTGCATGC